TTACCCACGGCTTGGTTAGTTTGCGACCATACAAAATGACTCGGTTACATTCCTTTCGCTCCACCCTGCAAATCAAGCTCTAACGGGTAAGTGGGTCATTGATTACGAGAGATGACGGCTGGTGGAACTACGGGCGCAAGGGAAGACTGGATTAGACTGGAGGTGAACATGTTGGAATACTGGAGCTATCTGTGTGCGCGTTCAAAGACACAAGGGGATGTCTTTATGGTATGTTACAGGTTTGCTCTACTGCCACCAGCCAACCGGTCTTCAGGGCTGTGATGGTACAGCAGGTGACGCTGCTGCCTCCAGAGGAACCAAGGCCCACCACAAGTTGTGCATTTTTTCCCTCCAATGCTAATTACCGTCCCTCCCGATACCAGCAGCTGATGGTGGGCTGAGGTTTCGGGTCAGTACAGCGACGCAGTTCCCGCCACCACTGACCTTTCTTATACGGATACAGCAGAGAACGTCCGGGAACAGGACGCTATAGCTACGGTCCCAATCGCGCTTCCCACTGGTTTAGACGAACGTGCCCCGTTTGTCAAGCAATAGCAAAATATTTTCCGTGGCATTTTGGTGAAGGCAAACCTGCTGCACTTAGAAGTCAAGTCTCTTCCGAAGGCTGATGAAGCAGCTCTACCGCACCTTTGTTATCAATAGGTAGACAAACAGGTCAATGAATGGCGATAAAGAAATAGATAAGTGAGATACCTAAACGGACAGACAGACAAAGAGATAGCGTAGGAAGATCTAATAGATATCCTACTGTGAGGATGCCTTAGTAAGTAAGCAGTTAGGGGCGCAAAGTGTGCCTTACTGTGCCTCAGCTATGGAGGAAACGAGATAGAAGAGGCAACTCATGAATTATGTACGTTTAGACATCAGATGAAGATAGAATCAGTATTGGCTGGAATTCCCTGCATTCAATAGCATGCTGACATGCACTGTTTGGGCTCACACAGGAGGAGCATTATACATTGAGCGGAGTACCAAAGGGCTGGCACTCACAGAACTGAATCCCAGCAAGTCACCGCCTTCGAAAAAAAAAAGTCTTAAGAGGAAAAAAATGAAAGTTGCACTAGTTTTAAGTATCCTTTTGTACTTCTCCCGCATACTCTCCCATGACTAATCAGTACTTCTGTTGCATACAAAATACCGATGTCACGTGAAGTGTTGTGAGATGTCTCGACAGAGTGAAAAGCTGCTACATCAAATCCAAAGATGATTATTATTTTTTTTTTAAATCCCGTACAAGTGAGCTTTATGTTATCAAAACCTTGAGAAGATAACGTGCAGTGTGACCCGAGTTGGCAGCTATATCCCTAAGGCTGAAGAGTAACTATTATAATAATAATAATAATCCTTGCATTTGATATAGCGCCTCATCACATCTTTGAGACTTCTCAAAGCGCTTCACGGGATACACTGTAAAGTGAACTGACTGTCTATCTTGCAGATGAAACTCAAAGCCTATATGATACGGTCATATTTTGCTCTCCTGGTGTTAAAAAGGTCATCAGATGCCCAACCCCTCACAACAAACATGCATAATGTTTGTCAAGGCCAGACTGGCTTAAGGAAATGGCACACTGCCATGATTAGTTCGTTCCCTCAACTGGACGCTACTTGCATTCCGTGTGCGCCACGTCCGTTTTATTCACCGCAAGATTTGTCAGTGTGGAAAACAGCAGGATTTATTACGAAAACAGGTGCCAGTCGCGAGCAGCTGAAGTCGGGGCTTATGCAAAATTAATAGGGAAATAAGACAATCACTTAGGAAGTTCAACAACAAATTAGCGTGGATCAGGTGTGAGCAGATATCTCAACTGATTCCGTATTTATACCTTAGGTCTCTTTTAAGAGCATAGAAAATCCTGTGCAGTTTCACTTTGAGATGTTTCGACGACGCGATAAGTCACTCTATCGCATGCAAGAATGATTACTGTGAGTTAAGTATGAATTTTATACCTGATCGGTACTGACAATTGCGTAGCAGGTGTGATGTAGTGTAATTCTGCAGTGAAATCAAAGGATTTCAAATAATCAATCCCAATGCTGGGTATTTCAATGCACCTATCCAGTAATCTTCACACTGTTAAGCATTCCTTATACAGTTCTGCAACAACCCCTAGTTGATCAATTCCACTGTAGCAGTCGAACTTTTTCATCCACTCTGCTCCACACGCTTACGTATCAAAGACCGCAGCATCGCACGAAGGTAACTCGCACAATCTTTAGATTAAAGCTCATTTTACGAATCATTACCCGTGATGAAATGACCTGGCATAAGGCAAGCAAAGTATTTGCAGTTTAACTCCGGCGTAGACAGCCAGACAGAGATATAAGTAAGTAAATGCAGTCACAGTGGGAAAGATTCATAAAATCATCGAAGTAGGTCGATGTAGAAAGATGTAATGCCATTCGTGAGATTGTGGATGAATACAGGATGCATATCTATAGTAGGATAAAACACCACGGCGTGTTTTATTACCCCGGATTAATTCTAAAATAAGAATCCGGACAATCCCAGCAAATCAACCGGATTAATCCTCGCAGTTGAGGAGCGAACATTGGTTTCGTTGCTTGACGCAGCCCTAACAATCAGCGCGAGTGGCTTTGTAAGCTACGCACAGAACGCCGATGATTT